TTGATTTAATTTGATACTATTCGAGAATCAACTTCCTAATGAACACAGAAGGATGTGGAGTTGCTTTGCCAGCCTGGAATAATTAGTAATTTTTTAGGTGATAATGCAACAGTTGCGACCTCTGTTTAACAGGCTTGGATACAATGTAAGCTTCTCTAAAGAAAACGTTCTTTTATAAAGAGTTATTTAACGATATCAACAGGCTTTACGTACAGTTCACCTTAGATCGAAAGCAAGGCAAATTTAAGGCACCATTACTCCAACAGCCCATGGTCATTCGTCTCTTTCCTTGTTGCGGTCTTGTTGCTTTTCCTTACCCTTCTACAAACAATATTTACAATCTTCCTTCGGTCTTGAAAGTGCAGGAAACCAAAATCTTTCATCCATGGATTTGGCTCTTCAGCATATATATATATATATATATATATATGAATAATTCAATGACTCCTTAATTATGTCCAGAATGTGTGATTTGTTGAGCTAGTGTTTGTAATTGTTGGTATGAGTGCATACGACTCTTTGTTGATTGTACAAATTGGTGTTGGATGTTGATGCTATTATGTATGTAACTGGCATGTGAGCGCCTGCTAATGGTTGGTCTTTGCCCACCATTTTTGTTGTTTGCGTGGATTTTTCTATTGCTTACAATATCTGTCTTCTGAGTTGAGAGTACCATATCATAATTCTAAGGCTTGGATTTATGGGTTGTTTTTTTTTTTTTTTTGAACATTGGAGAATATAGAGGTACAGGAGATTTTTTTAAATAGTTAATAAAAGTCGAATTCTTAATTAATTAAATCTAAATACTAAGGTTTGGAGACGAAATAACTAAATCTAAAGGTCTGGTTCTTAGATTTTATGGTTTTTTTTGCTCTTTTAGTGTTAGGTAAATTTTAATCAAAGTATTTTTGAATCCTTAATATTGTTTTAAAGGAAGAAGAGATTTTAAGGTCATTGTGTAAATCAATTAAGTTAGGATAGTGATTGACATATGCTATGATTTAATATGTTATATAATATATTTATTAAAAAATTATTATTTTTAATTTAAAATTAAAAATATATAAAGTTAAAAATACATTAATAAATATATGATTTAAGAATTATTTGAATCAAACAATACTTATTTATTTATATTATACCTTAATAATTAAATAGAATGAGAATAAAAAAATATATTATATCAAATGTATATCTATCATTTTTTTAATTATATTAAGCTTTAAATTAGCACTAATAATGATTAGTGACTTATTTGGGCTGAATTGGTAGTTAGAAGTTTCTATTGTTGGGTACAATGTAGTGCTTTTCCTTTGAGCTACCTGCCTTCATTGGAGTTGAAGGCGAATTGAGATTGAGATGGACATTGATGTGGATCAACTTGTCGAAGAACTCCTTGATTTAGATAAGCAACTTGCGGAAAACCTTCGAGTTTGGACCTAGTCTTCCCTACCCTACCAATAAAGACATTTAATTTGAGGAGTATTTGTTTTCCTAGGTAAAGCTGGAATCCACTAAGACACATCGCGATAGCTACCTTCAATAATATATATCACTCTGATTTTAT